TTAAGACAGGCCATTTTTCTTTGCTGCAGGGACCGAAAACCTCACATATCTGGAAAAAATACATTAAAATCAAAAGTATATATATATATTAAAAAATGTGACACACAGTAGATGAGATAATTGGTTGAAGCAGAAGTTCGCAAGAGTGCTAAAAGATTTGATTGTCTAATCTGGCTAATTTCTTTTAAGAGCGTAACATTTGTTAGCCCATGTAGGCACATAAATATTTAGCATCCCTACTAGCATATCCAGCTCTCTGCATTTTTGGGACGTTTAATGATCTCTAATCCCTTAATGATCTTTCTCCGCTCAATATTTCAACAGAGAAGCCTCGAAGCTACAGAAAAGAGCTTTCATTTAAAGTTTGCCGTGCTGCTCCCAGTAAAAAATTCCAGAGTAGGTCAAACGCTTGAGAAATCCCATTGAAACTTGTGACATATATACCGGGCTGGGGGGGGTGGGTAATGAGAACGGTCAATGACCATCAATAGCACCCTGTGTCAAATCTTTCCTTTGGGGTTCAAAGAACTTTCGGAGCAATTTTTGGGTGGTGGTGGGAAGCTGCAGGGGAAACAGAGATTATGGTTCATTCATTATGTTCATTCATATAAATATAAAATCACAATCAATGATGTCAAATTACAACAATCCCTCCTATAGGGCAGCCTGCCTGCCTGAATCTCTCTCCTGCAATCCTTCTCTAGGGGCAGTTGGTGGCAGATAGCCCTGAGAAGTAGCTGGGGAGTGGAAATGGATAGATATATAGGAGCCAGCATGGTGTAGTGGTTAAGAGCGGTGGACTCGTAATCTGGTGAACCGGGTTCAATTCCCCGCTCCTCCACATGCAGCTGCTGGGTGACCTTGGGCTAGTCACACTTCTCTGAAGTCTCTCAGCCCCACTCACCTCACAGAGTGTTTGTTGTGGGGGAGGAAGGGAAAGGAGAATGTTAGCCGCTTTGAGACTCTTTAAGGGGAGTGAAAGGCGGGATATCAAGTCCAAACTCTTCTTTTTCCCATTCTCACATCTATCTGCTGTCAGCAATTTTGTCTGGAAACCTAGTGAGATGAACCAAAGGGATATGAGCAGTGCCTGATTTACGTATTAACCTAAACAAGCTATAGCTTAGGGCCCCACACTCTTGGGGGCCCCCCAAAAAAATTAAAGGGGGAAAAACTGGATGTACATTTCCAAAATATAAGATAAAAAACAAATAAAATAAAACCTACATACAGCAACAGTGTTTTGTGTTGTGTAGGCTCCTATGATGTAAGTAATGGGCCCCTCCTGCTAGCCTGCTCTCTAAAATATCACTGGTTTGCTCATTTCTATACATAGGGTGCCTGCATTCTGCATGGACTGGTTGCATGGCAACATGTGCAAATGGCTTTAGATACCTATTAGGTCCATAAATAACCATATAACATATATTCAACACAAAAAAACAGCAACAATTTGTTGTTGACAAAGGACAGCTGGACATATAAAGGGCCCCATTACCTTCAGTAGCTTAGGGCCTCATCAAACCTAAATCCGGCCCTGGATATGAGAGTTCTGGACGGGAAAGGATTTGAGCCCAATTCATGCGCCACTCACATATTGCCATGTTCACGGAGGAGTGAGGCTGAGCTTTAATGTGTGCCACTCCCGACATCGCTACCTGCTTCTGCAGCAAATGTGTGTTGGGTTGGGTTCTCTGCAATGAAATTCTGGTGCAAGAGCATCTGCTGTTGACTTGGGGCTCAGTCAGTAGTGTAGCATGGGGAGGCCACGGGGCGATTACCCCAGGCACAAAATGATTAAGGGCACAAAATCTCAACACTCAGTGTTGAATACAGCTGTGTGCTTCTGTTGCTGGGCTCCGTTGAAAAAGGCTTCTCCACGCAAACCAGGAAGTGACTTCTCCAGACAACGGAATGACTCTTCTTTTTTATCTCTGCGGCTGCGATCTCCTGGGTGACACAGTTGAATGTGCATGTGTACTCTGTCCATTTCCCTTCCTCCCACCTGCATGGCCCCGGGCTCTGGCAGCCCAAGCTACACCACTGAGCTCAGTGTGATCAGGACAATGCTCCCTGCTGCTATTAGACAACACCACCACCAGTGAGCTAGTGAATGTGCAGAATAATATGGAGTGATCTCCGCAGTAAGGACCAGCAGGATATAGCTGGCTTTCCATGGTTGCCAGGGGCGTCTGTCTCTCCAGTTTTGTGTCACACCATGTGCCCCATGGGGGCCATTTTGTAACTGGAACCATTGAACTTTCTCTCAAAATTTAAATTTCCGAAAGTCTAGAGGTAGCATTGTTATCAATTTAATAATAATAATAATAATAATAATAATAATAATAATAATAATAAATTATTTATACCCCGCCCATCTGGCTGAGTTTCCCCAGCCACTCTGGGCGGCTCCCAATCAGTGTTAAAAACAGTACAGCATTACATATTAAAAACTTCCCTGAACAGGGCTGCCTTAAGATGTCTTCTGAATGTCAGGTAATTATTTATCTCTTTGACATCTGATGGGAGGGCGTTCCACAGGGTGGGCGCCACTACCGAGAAGGCCCTCTGCCTGGTTCCCTGTAACCTTACTTCTCGCAATGAGGGAACCGCCAGAAGGCCCTCGGCGCTGGATCTCAGTGTCCAGGGCTGAACGATGGGGGTGGAGACGCTCCTTCAGGTATACAGGACCGAGGCCGTTTAGGGCTTTAAAGGTCAGCACCAACACTTTGAATCGTGCTCAGAAACGTACTGGGAGCCAATGCAGATCTCTCAGAACCGGTGTTATGTGGTCCCGGCGGCCACTCCCAGTCACCAGTCTAGCTGCCGCATTCTGGATTAATTGCAGTTTCCGGGTCACCTTCAAAGGTAGCCCCACGTAGAGCGCATTGCAGTAGTCCAAGCGTGAGATAACTAGAGCATGCACCACTCTGGCGAGACAGTTCGCGGGCAGGTAGGGTCTTAGCCTGTGTACCAGGTGGAGCTGGTAGACAGCTGCCCTGGACACAGAGTTAACCTGCGCCTCCATGGACAGCTGTGAGTCCAAAATGACTCCAGGCTGCGCACCTGGGGTGGAAGGTTTATGATGGGGTGGAAGGTTTGCAGGCTATGAAGGGCTTGCTCACAGCTGCACGAATTGTGATAGCTAGGGAGTGTAAGGGGCAAGCAGAATATAAAATGGAAGAATGGTACAAAGAGGTGTGGGGTATAGCTATTAATGATAAATTAAAATGTGCCATTAAGGTAAGACAGGGAATATGCAGGAGAAATGATTTCGTGGAGATATGGAGGCTGTTTGTAGAATTTGTACTGTTAAAATGGAAAGGGGTCAAACCATCGCAAGAGGCATTTAAATTTTGGGAGGTTGGATAGTTACGATGGAATGGTCTCGGTGGTGGCGTGCACATTGTTATTCTTATTTATTTATGATTATAACTTTGTTGGGGAAAAATTGCCTTCTGGTCCAAAAAGATTGGTAATCTCTGATCCAGAGTGTACATCCTCAGGCTGCAGGTGGGACTTTACATGGCTGAAGAGAAAACATTTCCATAAAATTAATTCAAAAGCATCCAAGCAGGAAACTAGTATGTTACAGAGAACATGAGTCAAGAACTCTTTCCCCCAGCATCTAGTTGTCTAATTTTTGAGCGTAGAGGTTTTCATTTTGCCAGATCCATTCATATGAGCTCCCAAACATGGTCTGAAGCAGTTTAGACCAGACACAGGTTTACCATCTCGTCTGCTATTAGTGTGAATTAGGACTACAAAGTGTGGAAGAGAAAGCAAACAGACTAGTTGGTCCACTTTCCAAGAAGCCAGGCCTGTAATAATCCAGTCAAAACAGGCACACAGGCAACTCCTCCCAGCACATACATTTATTACTGTTTATTTCCGTAAAACCATCAGTGTGTGTGGCATTTTACAAAGCAACAAAGAAGAAAGGCAGTCCTCCGTCCCGAGGAACTTACAATTTAAATTTCAACAGCAGGAGAGGCAACGGAGGGAAAGGCAGAGCAAAGGAGAATGGGATGGATATGCACAAATGCAAATAAAAATGTTGTGAAAACTAGGCAGATCTTCTCTCGCTATCCGTACTACAAGAAATCCGGAGGGGTGGGGATGGGGGCTTTTCTGTCCCACCTCCTAAGAGCTTATCCAACTGATCAAACCAAAACATTCTCCAAACTCATTTTACTCATTCATTTGCAGGACATCCTTTTCACACTATCCCTTCCAGACACAGTAGCCGTAGGGAGAAAAACTTGGGGTGCACAAAGTCTTCTGAAAATGGGGAAAGGATATTCATACTGCTTTTAGAAATAAGACTAGGCAATATCAGCCCCAAAACAGCAAATGGAGAGCAGAGAGATGCAATTTCTTGCTTTTCTAGTAAAAAACAAAAAAGGCTTTAGAATAGCAGTAGGAAATTGGTGGCTCGTGGGGCAAATCCAGTTCACCAGATGCCCTACTATTCACTCATGATATAACCTAGTGGCTATTTTAAAGAAGCAAGCCAGCAAAAATGAACAAATGCCCTTCTAGTTCCATGAAGCTGTGTTCACCCTATATGAGACAGTTTTCATCCTAAGGCCGAAGCAAACCAAGGGACCAGCCTGAGCCATGGAGTTTTGCTAGTCGGCCCTATCAGTCACTAGCTAATCCGCTGCCATCCAGTGAAATTCTTCTTTCTATTCACCCCAACAGTGGGTTGTTGTTTTTTCAGGTGGTAGACTGTCTTATGGGTCAATACTGAATTCTGGACCATTGTACCCCAATGGACAGAATGCCTTGTGCTGGCTTGACCCAATGACTGTATCCCCCTCCAAGCCAACATGATCATAAGCAAAATAATTTCTAATGGCACTCAGCTATTTCCAAGGTGTTCAGCCTGTCTATTTGATGGAAGTCTAGGTAATGAGACAATTGAACACTCAAAAGCTTAAGCAAAAAAACAACTGGGGGAAAATCGCACTGTGTTTGTTGTTATAAGCAGCTCCTACCTTTCAGAGACAAAGGATTAACTTTTGCGTGTTCCATTTCCTTCGACTGTCCGTGCCGTTTGCGACCTTTCAGGTACTGCGTCACCCTTGAATCAACCACATCTTTTAGCAGCAAGCAGACATCCTAGAAGAAATATTTGTTTTCAGACAGGTTGGAGCATCTTCTATAAGGTCTGAGAAACCACTCATGAATTCTCAGATTTGTTTATCGTGAAGAGTCTTTGCAAACAAGCTGAAAAGCAATGCAGGCTGCAGTTCTAAACTTGATTTGAAATCAACTGCATATATTTCTAAGTACATCATGGTCATTCCTAGATCCACGTATACTAAGTGAGCATTTTGGACATCGGAGAGGAGAGAAATAATAGAAAATAGATTAGTGACAAATCCCTGAGCAATCTTACAGCTGAGGGCAGGAGCAACAAAGTGACTGCTCTTTGCTTTTGTACCGTACTTTGTAGACATCAGTCAAAATAAAGAGACGTCCCTCAAGCTTGCAGGCAAAGGGATTTGGCAAACAGGAGAAGGCAAGCAAAGTGGGGGAGGTAACCAAAGGTAAGCATCAAGATTGACGCTGCTTAGTTACTGTCTTTTAAATGGAAAGGCAGAATATAAATGCAACACATCACTGCCCTTATTCTTCCTTAGGCAAATCTAAATGTTTTCTTTTCTACATATGCTGCTCTATGGGCTGCTATGACATACAGGAAACAGCGAGACAGGCACACCCCTTCAGTTGGGAGTGAAGAGAAGCAAGAGGAAGGAAGGAAGGAAGGAAGGAAGGAAGGAAGGAAGGAAGGAAGGAAGGAAGATGCTCCTTTGCCACACTAGCACAAATAGAAGAAGAAGAAGAGTTTGGATTTGATATCCTGCCTTTCACTCCCTTTAAGGAGTCTCCAAGCGGCTAACATTCTCCTTTCCCTTCCTCCCCCACAACAAACACTCTGTGAGGTGAGTGGGGCTGAGAGACTTCAAAGAAGTGTGACTGGTCCAAAGTCACCCAGCAGCTGCATGTGGAGGAGCGGAGACGCGAACCCAGTTCCCCAGATTACAACCCTACCGCTCTTAACCACTACACCACACTGGCTCTCCTGCAGCTTCAGCTGTTCTATAAGATCATGAACTCCAGATCATACATGCAGGCAGTATCTTCAAATCTATCTATCTATCTATCATCTGTTTTTTATTAAATTTTCTGTTTTACAATTTAAAATACTCATTTAAACATCCTTAAAATATCAATGACTTCCATTCTTCTCTTTCCATGGTTCATTTTACATATCATAGATCCCTGTGTATTTTATAAAAATTATACCATTCAGTATTCCATTATTGCATCCATCAAAACTTGTTTACACTGCCAAATTTATCTTAATGCTGCCAGCATTTTCAGCTGTACACAGTTATTTCTCATATATTCATTAAATGTTTTCCAGTCTTCTTTAAGTTGTCCATCTCCTTTGGTTGGGACCTCGCTCGTTTTCCATTTTGGGGCTAACAAAATACGAGCCACGGTTGTTGCATACATAAATAACCTTTTCTGACAACTGAATTATCCCCAACAGAAAGGACTCTGGGTTTTTTGGGAAAGTACTTTTAAACATTTTTTTTTCAACTCATTATAGATCATTTCCCACTACTCTTTTACACTTTTACAAGTCCACCACATATGAAAGAACATTCCCTCCACCTCTTTGCATCTCCAGCACTTATCTGATTCAGTCTTATACATCCTTAGCAAGCCTAGGTAAAGGTAAAGGGACCCCTGACCATTAGGTCCAGTCGTGACCGACTCTGGGGTTGCGGCGCTCATCTCGCTTTATTGGCCGAGGGAGCCGGCGTACAGCTTCTGGGTCATGTGGCCAGCATGACTAAGCCGCTTCTGGCGAACCAGAGCAGCGCACGGAAACGTCGTTTACCTTCCCGTCGGAGCGGTACCTATTTATCTACTTGCACTTTGACGTGCTTTCGAAATGCTGGGTTGGCAGGAGCAGGGACCAAGCAACAGGAGCTCATCCCGTCGCGGGGATTCGAACCGCCGACCTTCTGATACAAGTCATAGGCTCTGTGGCTTAACCCATAGTGCCACCCGCATCCCTTTAGCAAGCCTAAAGGTAAAGGTAAAGGGACCCCTGACCATTAGGTCCAGTCATGACCAACTCTGGGGTTGTGGCGCTCATCTTGCATTATTGGCCGAGGGAGCCGGCGTACAGCTTCCAGGTCATGTGGCCAGCATGACTAAGCCGCTTCTGGCAAACCAGAGCAGCGCACCGAAACGCCGTTTGCTTTCCCGCCAGAGCGGTACCTATTTATCTACTTGCACTTTGACATGCTTTCGAACTGCTAGGTTGGCAGGAGCTGGGACTGAGCAACAGGAGCTCACCCCGTTGCGGGGATTCAAACCGCTGACCTTCTGATCGGCAAGCCCATGGCTCTGTGGTTTAACCCACAGCACCTACTCGGAGTTAAATAACATCTGTGAATCATTTTCATGTAGTTCTCCTACAAAGAATGACATGCTGTAAACTTCAGGTCACTTTTCCAGAGTTTTCCCCTGCAGTATCTTCAAATATCATATCAATTCCAACAAAAAAGGGAGCACAAATAAAAATTCCCAAGATATTAGGAACATGCAATAACCAAATGAGAATAAGCCAATGCAATCTCCTGCTTACCCTGCTTAAATTGTGTGCTTTTAAAGCACAAATGATTGAGCCTTACCTCTCTCTTACGATCAGAAAACCACACAGTGTCCTTACTGGAGTCACGTGACGTAACATGGAAATCCACCAGAACAGCAAAGTTTCCACACTTCGGATGTTTGTGGTAGAAAGCAGAAAAGGGAGATAACAGAAAATCTTTTTTATACTGTGTTATTATACACATTATCATAGAATCATAGTTGGGAGGGACAACAGGGGTCAGCTAGTCCAACTCAGTGCAATGCAGGAATTTCATCCAATTTGAAACCATATCGGACCCTGCTTAGCTTTGAAAACATGCTAGTAGTTTTATTGCTGCAAGCTTAGTGTGGTTCTTGGAGTTCAGAGCTAGGTCTTATATGACTGAATATTACCCATGTGCAGGATATAACAGCATCATAACTGCCCTATGAACATGCCGTTTATCATAGGAATCTTAATATTTTGTTATAAAAACCTAATCAATTCAATATCAATGCATCAACTAGCATGTATAAACTTTAACATAAAAATTACCCAATTCACGCCAGCTTAATTTTTTTAAATGGATTGAGAAATTCTTCTTTGAATAGTGTGCCTGACATTTCACGTTAGCCTATCAAACTGTTCACGTTACTTTTTTTAAAAAAATTAAGAACCGCCTTTTGCTAGCTACATTGGCCTAAACAGAAATGAAGGAGCATTCTGTGGTGTTCTAGGTCTCAGCTGTGGCAAGACCAGGTGAGGGTCACCAAGTCTATCACCAAGAACCTCAAGTATCCCTTTTCCAGCGGATAAGGTAGGTTGGTAGGGAAGAGGGAGCTGTGACTGACGAGTACCCAAGAGAAAGTAGACATCCTTAGTGGATATTCAGCCGTGGAAGCACAGAGAGATACAAGGGCTATGTGGTTCAGCTGCCCAGCACAAATATGTGTCATGACATCAGAAATACATCTTCTTCTTTGTCTATCACTTGTAGCCGAGTAAGATTGTCTTCCATGAACACAGTCTTAACAGTGAGTCCATAAGTGACTGTGGAGGCCAATTCTGGATCCACATGTCCTTCCACAGTGGGGACATAGGGTTCCGGGCAGCATGTTGATCACGACGAGGGTTTGCTGAACGTGCCTTCCTCTTAGTAAGTTTCTCCCTTTTGTCCTGAGCTCAAGCATCTTCAAAGCCCATACAGTGGTGCCTCGCAAGACGAAAAGAATCCGTTCCGCGAGTCTCTTCGTCTTGCGGTTTTTTCGTCTTGCGAAGCAAGCCCATTAGCGGCTTAGCGGATTAGCGCTATTAGCGGCTTAGCGGATCAGCTGGTAAGCGGCTTAGCGGATCAGCTGTTAAGCGGCTTAGCGGATCAGCTGATAAGCGGCTTAGCGACCAGCTGTTAAGCGGCTTAGCGGATCAGCTGATAAGCGGCTTAGCGGCTTGGGGAAAAGGGGGGGGGAGGAAAAAAAACCTGCAGGAACTCGCAAGACATTTTCGTCTTGCGAAGCAAGCCCATAGGAAATTCGTTTTGCGAAGCACCTCCAAAACGGAAAACCCTTTCGTCTAGCGGGTTTTCCGTCTTGCGAGGCATTCGTCTTGCGGGGCACCACTGTAGTTCTAGTTACGGGTAGGTAGCTGTGTTGGTCTGCCGTAGTTGAAACAACATAAAAAAAATCCTTCCAGTAGCACCTTAGAGACCAACGAAGTTTGTTACTGGTATGAGCTTTCGTGTGCATGCACACTTCTTCAGATACACTGAAACAGAAGTCAACAGACCCTTATATATAGTGAGAGGGTGGGGAGGGGTATTACTCAGAAGGGTATACATAAGGGTCTGTTGACTTCTGTTTCAGTGTATCTGAAGAAATGTGCATGCACACGAAAGCTCATACCAGTAACAAACTTAGTTAGTCTCTAAAGTGTAACTGGAAGGAATTTTTTTATTTCAAAGCCCATGACACCTTTGGTAAAGGCTGTTCTCCAATTGGAGAGCTCGCAGGCCAGTGCTACATTTTTTTTTAAAGATTTGCCTTGAGAGAGTCTTTAAAACTCTTTTGTTGACCATCACCATTAAGCTTTCCATTTTTAAATTCGGAATAGAGTAGTGGCTTTGGAAGACAATAATCAGGCATCTGCACACATGGCCAGTCCAACAAAGTTGATGTCAAAGAGTCATGGCTTTGACACTGGTGCTCTTTGCTTCTTCCAGTACACTGGTATTAGTTCACCTGTCTTCCCAAGTGATGTGTAAAAATTCTAGGAGACTCCGTTGATGGAATCTTTCGAGGAGTTGGAGATGGCATTTATAAGTGGTCCATGTCTCACTAGCGTACAGTAAGGTTGGTAGTACAATAGCTTTGTAAACTATTATTTTATAGACATACTGACCACAGCACTCATGCCTTCACTGCATAGCAGCACTTGCAAGCAAGGGTGCTGGCCTCCCTAGTCCTTAGTTGTCTTTCAAAGGCAGTAGCCTCATGGTTACCAACTGCCACCATCCACAAAATGTTGCCATCAAACAAGCATAAACAGGAGGTGTCAGTAACTCATCTATCTGAACTACCTGTGCACAGTGAGTGAATTGTTTGGTGCAACTCGCCATACAAAGAAGCCTCAAGTTCACACCGAGAACCATAAATCTACATTTCTGTGGATTTGGCCCGGCAACTGAAGGCTCCTATCTACATGGAGGCATCAACATGACGTTCTTTTCTTTCTAAAAGGGCAGACCACTGTTTCCATTTCCCACTGTTTGGGACTAGGATCAGGGTGCTAATTCAGAGAGAAAGAGAGCTACCTGCTGGAAGAATGCAAATTCTTATCCCGATGAGTGAATGAGACTACAGAGGTTCAAAAGTTCACAAGGAGTTGCTCATGTTCGCGGCGAGCGATGATAGCCAAAATATGACACAAGTGGGAAATCATCTGTAGACAGGTGTCAAAACATGTTCAGTTGATTTCTAAATGCTATGGGATCTTCTTCTTTTTTTAAAAAAAAATGTTATTTTGCAATGTATGACTTCTCGGTGAAGATTTATGTGTGTCCTGTAAATTTATTTGTGAAGGGAGAAAGAATTTGTGCGGCATGTAAGTACTTAATACAAGTGCTATTTATAGACAGCTGGTCATACGCAATTCAAGTAACCACGAAAAATATTACACAGGGCACCATGGTAATGCAAACATAAGTAAGTCAGGTTTGAATCCCCCATTCCAGCAGCAAATGAGGTGGAGTTAGCAGCCTTTCATCAATTCTTTCCTCCAAAACCACTTTTCGCTATTACTTTAAGACACACAGGAACCAGCAGGCGATGAGGCAGAGCAAGATTTTCCCACCCACAGAACTTGGCTGTATCTGAAAACATTAACAGGTACAACACAGCTGACTTGCCTCCTGTCTTAACCCTTTAGTAAGAAACCTCTGAAAGGAAGGCAGTGAGAACGTTTCCTCTCTCATCTACCAAGTCCTTTCCAAGCTGTGTAAATTGGGGTGAAATCTGGGGGTCTAAAAATGGGGATATTAATGCTGACAGGTGTAGTGGGTGGCCCTTATCAAGGAGCTCGTAAGATAAACTCAAGCTGGCCCTTATTTAGGAAATAAAATCACAATCAAATGATGTCTTTCTGTGCGCTATTACAGGACTCATGTTTCTGAAGGTGCTGCCAGAACTCTTGATTTGCCAAGGATGAAAGGAGAAAGGGAAATTATCGTGCTGAGATTCTCCACACACTCTGCCAGAAGCCACCAGGATCATTATTATTATCTAAATTAATGTAAGAATTTGGTTTCCCATACATATCTCGAGGCGATTTAAAGGCACACCATGGGATCAGCTGGAGAAGCTCAAGATTTGATGGCAGATACGTCCTACCACATGTGGTGGACATGCAAGTTAACAAAAGCATTCTGGGAAATGATTTATAATGAGTTTTTTAAAATGTTTAAAATAACGTTGTGAGAAAACCAGAAGCCTTTTAACTAGGAATTTTAGGTGCAGAGATACCAAAGGAGCACAAACGACTATTTCTGTATGCAACAATAGCAGTGCAGATACTACTGGCCCAGAGATAGAAAGAAATTAAAATTCCGACCGGAGACGAATGAATGAAGATGATGGACTACACCAAAATGGTGAAAATGACTGGGAAAGTCAGAAACCAGGAGGAGAGAAGCTTTAATAGGGAATGGGTTATACAGCTACAGGCTTACTGAATATTCCTCAACATGTTCTCTGTAGTTGGCATCTATCTGTGCTGGTCCCGGGGGGGTGTGTGTTTACCGTGCGGCGTGGTCCGTGTCCGGTCCGAGGCTGAAGCGGGGTCCAAGGCAGGGAGTCGGGCGTGGTCAGGAACTCTGGCAGAAAGCAGGACAGGGTGCCGGCAGGAACAGGTAACCAACGATGTTGCTCCCGCAACCTGGGACTGGGTGGGCTGGCCTTTATCCCCTCTGAGGCATAGGGTGGCCCCGGTCCACATGTGACTCGCCTCTCCTGGCCTGGAGGCGAGCACTCCTCCTGCAAGAACTTAGTTCCCTCTGCCTCTCTGCCCTGAGCCTCTGCAGCTCAGGAGAGGATGGAGGGTTACTGGATCCAGAGGCAACCTCACCTTCCCCTGACAGGGCTGGTAGAGGAGCACCTGCAGGCAATGGGTCCTCCATCCCCTCAGGAGCCAGAGCGGATTCAGCTGGTGTCTGCTCCTGAGGATCCGGCACAGGTGAGGGCCCTTCAGGTTCAAGCCCCTGCCCCGGCTCAGCCGGCCCTGGAGGCGGGGACTCCTGTGCAGGCTGGGATTCCTCAGGTTCAGCCTCTGAATCAGATTCCCAGGCCATCACACTATCCATCTCAGGAGACAATGGAAGAGTGTGTCTTCAGGTGTGAAGTCAAACTGTTGGAGAGTTACAGCGTCTGCTGTGGCTGTAGAGACTGATATGGAAGAGACATGTTTTATTGCAGCTGGGGCAGATGAAGGTGTCCAGTTTTGCTGGTACTGATGAACCATGACATTTCTTCTCTCTGAACTCTTCCCAGGGGTCGTTCCTCTTCTGGTCACAGCTGTGGATACATGACCGGGCTGTCTGTCTCCAGACGCTGCGGTCGTCTGCAAGGGGTTCCCACGTGGCAGGGTTAATATTGCCAGCGT